GCACGTATGTGTGCACGTATTCTTAGGAAGATATGAATATCCTTAAAGTCCAATAACTCCAATAAGTTTGAATGGCTGAGAATCATTCGCTCTTTTAACCAACGCTTCATCCACGTTCTCTTTTTTTGTTTTTTTTCATCGTCTATTGCACACAAAATTGCTAAGGCAAAGACCACTTTTTGAAATTTAGCCTTTGGAGCCATTTCTACAATACGGTTATTATAGTCCGCGCATGATACGAGTGCATACGTGTTTTCACGCTAGAAGATGACTCGCGATTGCGTTTTGGGGCGTGAATTACATCCGTGTAGCGAAAATCATAATGCGGATGGAAACCACGTTCCCACCAAGGTCACCTTAATTTGAAACCTGGATTACATCCGTCTAGTCTAAATAATAACAGCTGTATGCGCGCAGTAACATTAGGTACTTGCCCTTCTTAAAATGGGAAAAATAACGAAAAGACCGTGTATTCATCACTGTCTGTTGCGGTGTTGTGTATATAATATATAAACATAATTATCACTTGTATTACTATTAAGTGTTACTATTGTTTGTTAGAAATTAAGAGAATTTGCAATGCCCTTGCAGGGCTCATGTTGTGAATCTTTATTGTAAATTTAAGAACCCATGCACAACCAACATGAAGCAATAAAGATTATGATTAACACAACAATGCAATTGTATGTGCGAAACTGTGTATGAGCACTCTTGTAAATACCGCGTATCTGCGTTTTGACAGTTTTATAGGAAGAAGAAAGAACTTATTATCTTTGTCATTTAAAAACAACTACTGACTAAACTTTACAGGTAGTTCTTTGCAATCAATTTACCTGTGACATTTTCAGTTTCCATAATAAGTAACTTGATTAATACGCGGACTTGTTTCAAACTTCAGATCAACTACTGTTCCGCAGTATCGTTTCGATGGCAATAATTAGTTCTCATAATGGATAGTTCCGACCGAGTGAGAACCGGTATAAGCCAATAGGTGTTGAGAATCGGAAGGCGCGATATTTAAATTTTGCTCGTTTTGTAGTTTCGAGGTATTAATAAAATGCTCATACGCGGTGTCGCACAACACAAGCAGCGTCGTTATGATGGTATTACTACAAATGACAAAGCTGTACGGCTTGACCTTCGCCTACCCAAAAAGATGAACGAAATAAAATAAAAAAAGGAGTTTAGTTTTAAGATTCTCCCTCTAGAAGGAATTCAAAGGGAAAGTTTTTGGCGCGATTTCATCGAGTGTTGTTGGCGTCATAATTTAATAATCCTTAAATTCGTTCATAGTGGATATTGTGAAATAAAATTGGTGTGATTTTGTATTACACCCGCCTGCGCAACTGAAGAATTAGTGGAATCTTTAAAATATATGCTATTCCGGTAAAGTGGACGGGAGAACTTTACTGTAGTGTTTACTGCCTCCCAAAAGCTTTTTGAAAAAGTTAACTTGATACATTTTGTGCCGAACACTCCAAGAAACATTAGAATGTATGCAAATAGAAGATTAATGAAACTGAAGACTTGGCTATATGGCCATTGTTCCCTTTGCCTTTGCTGTAAAAGGGAGAATGTTAAAAAAAATGCCGTGTGTGTTGGTTGCCTTTTTTCCATTTATTGAGCTTTGGCTCCATGGCCATCAGCAATGTGTTGGTTGCTGTACTTGCTGTTAGAGATGGAAAAAACGGCTTCTTTCTTAAAAGCGTTTAAACGTTGTACTTTTTTAAATAAGCGCGCTTGAAAAAAAGCTTTTTCGTTTAAACGCTTATTGGCTTAAACGTTTAAAAGCATGCGTAAAAAGCGCGACGTTGTGTTGTGTTTTCGTTTAGGTATATCGTTTAAAAAAGCGTGAAAAGTTTATTGTCGTTTTTAATGTGTTTAAGTGTTTTATTGCGTTTTTCTTCTTATTAATGAAATTTTTATTAAAAAGTTTTTTTAAACCTAATAGGCATGCGTCCGATATATCAAAACGAATCCAAAATCCGATTTCAAACACAAATCGATACCGAACGATTTCTCAACAAGAAAATCCGATTTCAGAAATCTAACCGAACCAAAACGCTAGCGATCTAATACCACCACAAGTATCCAAATGTAAATCGGATTCGAAATTCGTGCTTTCGTTTTCGGAAGTCCGATTTCGTGCTCGGAAGTCCGATTTCGGTTTGCTGTTTACGGAAATCTATTGTTCTTCTCTAAGGCGGGATTATTTATTACTGAAAAAGATGTCGTCTAAAAACATCAAAAGTCGAGCAACTGACATTTTTTTGAACGCTAACCTGAAGTAATTAGGTTTGATTTTGTAAATGGTTTGAAAAATAATAAAAACAAACAGAAAAACAAAAAAAATGGTTGCCTGTAAAGTCGGTTTTACGGGCGAAGATTTTACGTGACAACGTCTTTTTCTCGGTAGAATATTTATTGATATGAATATAATTAAATTGCACAATAGGAACAAGGAATTGAATGAAAATAAGAATAAGAATTTACTTGCACGCGTGGGTCACACATTACATGCGCGTGGTGCACCAGCCTGGTGTGGTCGTATAGCGCGGCGTGGTAGGTGAAGCATGCCCGGCAGGTGGGGCACGCGTGGGTCACACATTACCTGCGCGTGGTGCACCAGCCTGGTGTGGTTGTATAGCGCGGCGTGGTAGGTGAAGCATGCCCCGCAGGTGGGGCACGCGTGGGTCACACATTACCTGCGCGTGGTGCACCAGCCTGGTGTGGTCGTATAGCGCGGCGTGGTAGGTGAAGCATGCCCCGCAGGTGGGGCACGCGTGGGTCACACATTACCTGCGCGTGGTGCACCAGCCTGGTGTGGTTGTATAGCGCGGTGTGGTAGGTGAAGCATGCCCCGCAGGTGGGGCACGCGTGGGTCACACATTACCTGCGCGTGGTGCACCAGCCTGGTGTAATTGTATAGCGCGGCGTGGTAGGTGAAGCATGCCCCGCAGGTGGGGCACGCGTGGGTCACACATTACCTGCGCGTGGTGCACCAGCCTGGTGTGGTTCTATAGCGCGGCGTGGTAGGTGAAGCATGCCCCGCAGGTGGGGCACGCGTGGGTCACACATTACCTGCGCGTGGTGCACCAGCCTGGTGTGGTTGTATAGCGCGGCGTGGTAGGTGAAGCATGCCCCGCAGGTGGGGCACGCGTGGGTCACACATTACCTGCGTGTGGTGCACCAGCCTGGTGTGGTCGTATAGCGCGGCGTGGTAGGTGAAGCATGCCCCGCAGGTGGGGCACGTGTGGGTCACACATTACCTGCGCGTGGTGCACCAGCCTGGTGTGGTTGTATAGCGCGGCGTGGTAGGTGAAGCATGCCCCGCAGGTGGGGCACGCGTGGGTCACACATTACCTGCGCGTGGTGCACCAGCCTGGTGTGGTCGTATAGCGCGGCGTGGTAGGTGAAGCATGCCCCGCAGGTGGGGCACGCGTGGGTCACACATTACCTGCGCGTGGTGCACCAGCCTGGTGTGGTTGTATAGCGCGGCGTGGTAGGTGAAGCATGCCCCGCAGGTGGGGCACGCGTGGGTCACACATTACCTGCGCGTGGTGCACCAGCCTGGTGTGGTTGTATAGCGCGGCGTGGTAGGTGAAGCATGCCCCGCAGGTGGGGCACGCGTGGGTCACACATTACCTGCGCGTGGTGCACCAGCCTGGTGTGGTTTTTAACTATAGAAATATATTTTGTTTACTAAAACATTGTACATGTAAACTTAAACTTAACACGAGAGACTCATCGTAACGTTACCGAGCGTTACACTTTTTCATAAGTGACTCCCAGCCGCAACCTAATTTAAGACGTTGTCACGTCAAAAAAAATACTAAAAAAATATGTAAAAAGAAATCATTGTATATAAGCCGATTTTTAAATGCGCCGCAAAAGTTTTACTTTTAACCGTAAAGATAACTTTTCTGCTAGTCCTAAGCCACAGAATATATACTCTTGCCTAAGCCTAGATTTAAAGCATAAAGGAAAATCGTGCAAATCTACGAGTATCCTTGCTTCGTACAATTAATTGTTTGTGATTGTCGTTAGCTAATAAAACCAAATCATAACACAAACTAGTGAATTGGCTAAGTTCGGCACATCTGAAATCGGATATCTAAAAACGGATTTTAAAATCGATTTTGAAATCTGAAATCCGATAAATATCCGTTTGCGTTCAAAACCAAAAACGCCCATGTCTAAAACCTAATGAATTGATTGGCATTAAAAACGAAAGATTTTCAATTGAATTTAGATTTTATAATAAACATTTTTATAATAGTCAATGAACTTTTCTTCGAACTTTACATGCTTAGGACTCTCTGGAGTTAATATACTCGTGATCCAGGCGTACTTAAAAGTTCATTGATTTTATATACATACTTTTAACTATTTTATATGCACATTAAACCAATACACGAAACGCATTAACACAAGCAAGCATGCAAACACACCGTACAACACCCACGCGCTCTTACCCCGTCACAGTGACAAGCGTACTGCTTTTCGACTTCGTTTAATTAAACGCTTTTAACGAAAAAAGCGTTGGTTATCCGACCAAATTTTAAAAAAGTGCATTTTTTTACGTCGCATTATAATAATTCGCATGCTGTATTAACCGGCTCACGAAAGATGGCACGCCGACGCGGCGCTGTAGTCGCGCGTTCTATGTCTGTGATATTGTGAAATATTTAGTTCCAAGGAATTCCGCGTACCCATTTTTCGATACTGTAGTGGACTAGAAGGATCGAAGTATGTAGTTTCCTGGCAAAGACATAGATGGCGGGATTTGCACTTTTTAAGTAAAAAATATACTTGCACTTTTTTAAGTGAAAAGCTTATAACGCTTATACTTAAAAGCGTGCTTACAAGCTTAATATTTTAAGCGCGCTTATTTAAGCGCTTTTTGTTTAAACGCCCACCGCTACTTGCTGTCTGTCTGTCACTGTCACTCCTATGTTTGTTGTCTGGGTCCAGGTCATGAATAAATTAAAAAAAAAAAATTGTTGTCTGGGCTATGTTTGCGGTTGTAGTATTTTTCTTCGAAGAAAATAAAATATCTCTTAATAATTACTTTTAAAACCTTACTGGTCTAAAAATGGCTGAAATATATAAGTAAGAATGTATTTAGATTATTGTATGAGGTGTTAAATAGTCATAACTACAAAAAAATTATCGATGCTAAAATAAAGTATACAAATCATACAGTTTTTAGTTACTGCTATTAGGTTCTGATAATAATAATTATTTATTTATTTGCCATAAATCCTATAGTTTACCTTATAGCCAGTGCGTCACTCACTACCTAATACATACTAAGAAATTACAGAGTTGGTACTTACTTAAATTAGTAATCTTAACACAATTAACAATAAATTCACAGAATAAGTTCTGATGAAGATTTGGTTTAATTTTTAATTTGTTATCTTTCTTCCTTCTACTTTTAATTCAAAACATTTGTTTGTAACTTGACTAAATTTTTAGGTTAATTCATCCTTTGAAATATTTTACTGACTATATTTCCCGAGAAGTTCGCCCAGACGGTAGAAAATTTGATGAGCAACGTAATATTAAATTGAATGTTAACTCACTTAAAACAGCGGAAGCATCTGCTGTAGTGAAATGTGGTAACACAACTGTTGTATGTGGGATACAATTGGTAATTACACATTATTCTACAAATAATAAGACATAACAGCTTGCTAGCGTTGGCGATACACTAAATATGTTATTTCATGACATTTTCAGGAATTGGCCACACCAAAGGCGGAAGAACCAGATCTTGGATATTTAGTCACAAATTTAGAACTGCCTGCTCTATGCTCTCCAAAGTACAGACCAGGCCCACCTTCTGACCATGCACAAGTTACAAATTACTTAGTATCTGATATTATAACAAACTCGAAATGCATAAATTTAAAAGATCTTTGTATTGTTCCCGATAAATTGGCTTGGGTTTTATACTGTGACATTGTATGTCTAGATAATGATGGAAGTTTGGTTGATGCTTGTATTATAGCATTAATGGCAAGTCTTAAGACATGTAAGTCTAGTGCATTAATTAAAAATAAAAGATATTGCTTATTTTCTTAAATTTTAATTTCAATATAAATCACTCCATATGCTATTGGTAATTTTGTCATTACTATATAAATCTATTGCACATTAATATATCTACTGACTTATTTTATTATTTCAGTATGCCTACCTTCAGTTACATATGACAATGACACAGAAGATATCAAAGTAAACGCTGATATAAGGACACCCTTAAAAGTTCATGGATTGCCAGTTGCTACAAGTTTTGCTGTTTATAAACTTCCAGATAGGTATATAATATTTATTTTTAAAGTGACCATGGGTGTTAACTCAGTGATTGAGAACTGATTAGTGTAATTGTCGTGCTCCTATCCTTTTATCTAGTGGATTCCAATCCCAAGGGATTTGTGTGTTAAACATAATTATTTGTCAATATTTAGTTGTCATGATTGTCTCTATGGCATATAATTAAAATATTTATGAGGAAAAAAGAAAAAAAATATTATTTACATTTAAATATTCAAATTAATATAGACAAAACTTAAGCTTGTTTTCTACTATATACTATGAAAAAAATTAAGTACCTACAGTATATTTTGTTTTGCTGGAACAAGTAAAATGGTTGGTTGTTATAGCCAATGAAAATCAATGTGAACTTTATTAATATTCATTGGCTATTAGTGGTTTTAAGCGGTATTTTGGTATATCTGGTGCTGTTATAGGTGGTTTGTTTACTTATGGGTTTCTGGCTGGGACCTTAACCGATATGTGATTATAAACGATGTTGTTATATACGGTTTTGACTGTATATGCATTTTTTCCTTGTAGGAACATTCTTCTAACTGATCCATCAGCCTATGAAGAAGAAATGTGTGGTGGAATTGGAGCAAATTTCATAGTTTGTTCAAACGAAGGTCTGCTGTGTGGCACTCAGAAATTTGGTGGTAGTAATCTTTTATCTGACAGTCAAGAGGAATCTCTGAAGATATCCAGAGATAGAACCAATGTAGTGAAGAAAGTTATTGAGACTAGCATAAAAAATGATAATGAATTTGTTTCTTAGGTTTTCACGCACATCACTCATTAAATAAAACTAGTTTTTACGGGTTAATGCACGAAACTTTATTTATTTATTGACGAAAGGCTACAAAACGTCAATAAATAAATAAAGTTTCGTGCATTAACCCGTAAAAACTAGTTTTATTTAATGATAATGAAGTAAAATGAATCACTTAACATGCATTGTTTTTTTTATTGTTTGCTATGGGTGTCGATTCTGACATAATTCTCTAACTTATACATAAATTTGACAACAGTGCATCCTTGTCAATGAAAAGGACAGACTGATGTTATTTTTAGTTTTAAGTTTAGAGAATCATGACAGAATCGACACCATGTTCTTACGAAGAGTGCCGTCGACATCGTGTAATTTTTATATGGAACCATCTCAGGTATCAAGTATATACCAATCGATTTCAAGAGGATTATGAAAGGAGAACACAAAAGGGTCAAAATGTTACCCTAAAATATATCTAATATCAAAGTAGATAAACTCCTATGTGTTATTATAGTTTCTATTTTATGTAAATACATACAGTATTACCGAAGTTACAATTGTGATAAGTTGAGATCCTTTTTTATATTTCCGAGATTCCGCGAGCTTCCTGCGTTACGTCACAGTTCCATGGATTCACCTGAGCGACTGTGAACGTTAATTAATGCGCTATTAATTATGAACTGTGTGAACTTCCACCTTTACACCGTTCAGGGATGATTTCCGGTATTCAAACTTTTTATCGTTTCCCACAACTCTATCTCTATAGCAAATTTCATTTTTATCGGTTCAGCGGTTTAAGCGTGAAGAGGTAACAGACAGACACTTACGCATTTAAAATGTTATTCGTTCGTGTCAATACATGAACCCTGAATACATTACACTCTTTTTCTTGGGTAGTCGTGTAATAACATTTACATGACATGATTTTTATGGAGTAGACTTTTTTGCCTCTGAAAAGTATCAAGTACATCCACGTGAACCCGTAGAAAGAATAAAGTCTGAAGCCCGTCACAGACGTAGCTATATTATATATTAATATGAATCATAGCAAGACTTATTACAACATATTTTCAATATAAATTTTCGAGTGACCGCACACGCTATAATATATATTTCTATGACGTCACCAAAATATGTCGACAGATATATTTTGGCATATTAGTGTATATTTTGCCATATTAATATATATTTTTATGATACGGGTGTTCCATTTTTCACCGAACGCCTGCCAAAATATATATTATAGTACAGTTCCCGTCTGTGGTAGTTCGTTTAATATAATATCTCGATATATTATAGCTACGTCTGTGACGAGATATATTTTTAATACAGAATGTTCAACTTTTCTCTTAACGCCTGCCCGATCTCCGGCTCAAGTGCGCACGAGCATTTCTCTCCCGCCCTCCCTCTCCTAAAAATTGGATGACAAATCACGATACAAATTAAATTCGCCACAAGTTTTCTTTTGTTTTATATGCGACTCTACCCAGATGGTTCTATTTTTCGTTCCTGACAAGGCAACATGCATATCAAATTCAGCATCGGAATCATCCTCTGAGGAACTTTCAATTAAATCTAATGCGCTTACCACACGCACAAGCTTCACCACAGTTTGGCCTGCGCAAGCATCTCGCTAGGGACACGAAAAAAGTATCGATACTTTGTGGTATCGAGTACTTTTCCTTTCGATACCGATACTTTTGTACTCGATACTTTGTATTCGATACTTTTACTAAATGAGTACTTTTTGGCAAGTATCGATACCTTTAAATTTTTTTTTTTTTTTTTTTATATTACTAGGTAGGCAAATGACTCTACCCCACCTGATGTTAAGTGGTGATAAAGTCCAAACGCGAAGATAGCTGGTACAGCAGTTATTAACTGCTACACCAACCATCCTCACCTTGCCGGCCCGCAAAAATGCTTCTTCACGCCTCTCTTAAAGGACCCCAGATTATAGGAAGGAGGGAACACGTGCGCGGATAAAGAATTCCACTTACGAATAGTACGACAAAGAAATGAGTCGCCAAATTTCTTTGTTCGTGTAGGAATAGTGGCCACAGTAAGTCGATGGCAACGTAGACCAGCGCGCGTGGTCCTCTGAAGAAAAGGTGATGGAGGGATAAGCAAGAATAGCTCCTCAGAACACTCGCCGTGGTATATTCGGTAGAATGCGCTTAATGATGCCACATCACGGCGTAATTGTAGAGACTCGAGTTTCTTAGTTGCCTCTTCATCGCCAATGATGCGGGCAGCGCGCGGCTGCAACCTATCCAAGGCATCGAGTAAGTACTTTGCGGAGCCATCCCAGAGGTGCGAGCAATATTCCACGCAGGACCGCACTTGTGTTTTGTACAACAAGCACAGTTGATCGGGCGTGAAAAAACGCCGCACCTTGTTCAGGACTCCGAGTTTGCGTGAAGCTGTTTTGATCAACGTTTCGATGTAGTCCTTTGGATTCAGGTCTGAGCGAACTTCCATACCGAGCATGGTAATATTGCTCTGTAGCGCCAGTGTTGTGCCCTGAAGAGAGGGAAGGGGAAGGAATGGCGATGTTTTTGCCGTGAAAGCGCAAGCCTGAGTTTTCTTGGCATTGAACTCAACCAAGTTCCTAGTACCCCATTCGGAAATGTCGTCTAAAGCTCGATTGAGCTCAACGACAAGATTCTCCCGTTTCTCCATGGTTTTTACCTGTCCAGCCGCCGCGTGTCCAAAGTATCTCGCATGCACTGTGCTATCGTCTGCATAGCAATGAATATTCGCAAGTGGAATCAAATCATTGATATGCAGCAGAAAGAGTGTGGGGGATAGAACGGAACCCTGAGGAACACCGGCATTCACTGACATGAACTGCGAACTACATCCGTCCGTAAGGACGCGAATTCTACGCTCATGCAGGAAGTCAGCTACCCAGGCGCAGAGCTGAGCAGGCAGACCGTATGCAGGAAGCTTGGAGAGAAGGCTCTTGTGCCAGACCCTGTCAAAAGCCTTGGCGATGTCAAGGCTAATAGCCAGAGACTCTCCCCGCTTGTCTATAGCTTCACCCCAGATGTGTGTCACGTACGCTAGAAGGTCACCCGTCGATCGATTCGGCCTAAATCCGTATTGACGATCGTGAATTAGAGAGTAATCTTCTAGGTAGCGGGTCAGATGGTTGTTAAGGACCCTTTCTAAGACTTTACACAACACTGAGGTGACAGCTATCGGCCGATAGTTGGCCGGGTCTGAGCGGTCCCCTTTTTTGGGCACCGGTTGCACATTGGCGTCTCTCCAAGCTTCCGGCACACGCCCCAAAGAGTAAGAGAGTTGGTATAGTCGCGTAAGCACGGGAGACAACTCCGCTGCACAATGTTTTAGAACAACTGCTGGGATGCCATCGGGTCCACTAGCTTTCCGGACGTCTTGCTTGACTTGCTATATCTGGGATCCAGGTGGGCTGATCAACCAGTTGTGTCAAGTCATGCGTGAGAGCGAATGCATGGGCAGAGATCCCTGCATGGTCAGTTTTGGAAGAGCCAAGCCACAAACCGTGGTGGGCGTTAAAGTCTCCCAAAAACACCAGTTCTGCGTTGGGAAATTGCGCCTGGGCATCATCTGCTACCCTACTGAGGTGGTCAAACAGTCGAGTTGTCTCAGCGTCGCCGGTGTGAGATCTGTAGAGGCACATGTAGACTCTGGCCAAAGGACCAGAGTCTACATGTACCGCCAACATGGAAAAGGAGGGGTCTTCCAGGCAGCTCAAACGGCGACAACAAACATCCGCCCGAACATACAGGCATACGCCGGCTTTTGCTTTGAAGGATTCTTCAAGCGCGTAGCCGGGATATTTAAGGTAGCCTGTGTCAGCGGCGGAAGTATTTGTGTCTCCGTGAGAAACAATAGTGCTGGCCGTGCTGTCTCAAGATGGTGGTGGACAGCATTGAGGTTAGAGTGGAGTCCGCGTATATTACAGAACTCAACCTCAAACAGCGCGGAAGGCGTGGGGGTGTGCACCGCTGTACAACCAAACTTTATTTTACGGGCTGCCATCATGAGAAAAAAGTTGAGAGACGTGAATCGAGTGGAGTTAGTCGCGACAAAGACAGGCAAATATATGGAGGCACGTTTTCCCGAGTAACTGCCTGCGAAAGAGATACGCCGACCCAACGGACGGAAGGGCCCCCGCACCCTCCCGGGAGTGGCCGCCGGGACCCCACGCCCCGGTCACCAACCGGCACGACGGTCCACCCCGAGATTATGCGTGACATGATAGGGCAGCCTCACGAACTGGTTAGGAACGCTCGGGCCCCTGTACTGTGCCACGGGCGGCCAGCGGGACAGCCGTTTCTACGGGTCTCCCTGGCCGGTGGGTTGATGCAGTCCTCCCGGCATCGGTTCGACGGATGCCTCCACTGGACCGAATCTGTCGCGGCAATCTCCACTCGAGCTCTGGTTGTACGCTGGCTGACCCCGAAACGCGCGTGAAGCACTTCACGGGTTTTTCACCATGCGTACGGTGGTAACAAACCAGGCGGGTGTTAGGCACCCTACCACCAGAAGAGCAGATGGAAGCTCTGATATCCCTCAGTCGCTTCTTACGACACCCGCGGGAAGTGAAGGGGCGGTGAGTGGTATTCTTTCTCCGTCACCGCACGGATAAAATAAAATTTTGGATAAGCGCCTCATATTGACGGCAACGCCATCTTGTTAAATCATAGCAAACCTTCTAAAACGTTCCATAGGGTATTTGACAAGTTTTAGGCAACGATCTCACGTTATTGACTAATGTTTATGGAGTCCGTAAAAAGTGGATATTCATCATTCTATCGTGTATTTCAGTAAAAATAACCAAATCAAAAACTCAATTTTTAAGTTGCCGCGAAAACGTTTCTCTGGGCAATATGGCTTCTTACTAGTGTGTGACGTCACACGACTGTTATTAAAACGTCAAACGATACAATGTAATGTCACTTTGACCGGAAGTTTACTTGCGTGTGACGTCATTTAAGCCTCCGCCAATCCCAAGCGTTTTGGGTTATGTGACAATAGATAAGAAAACTAATATCTTTTTCGTTATTTTGGCACTTTATT